ATTTTCAAATCGATCCTTATTTCGCCATCAATCATCGACTCCTCAAAAATCAAAAATCCCATTTGTTATCAGAATTGAATCTATCTTCAAGGTTCGACACACAAATCAATTTTCAAACCTATTCATTGAAATCGACTATGATTGAAAGACACGATTTTGACTTCCAAAGCGAACTAGCGACTAACACCATTCGACGTCAATGGAATTCAAATCCAAATTAATAGCTAAAAAAATGATATTCAAATATTTAACTCATGAACCACACAATGATGATCCAATGGTACAACTGAGTGAAGCGTGCGTACAAGTTGAACCAAGAACAACAATTTTGACCTTTTGTTTTGACTTTCACCTACGACACATTTGACATACATGAACAACAAAAATCAATGAATATTAGTAAAAATGAGTACGATTTTTGGCTTTAATGACTCAAGCCAAGTTCAATTTCAATTAAAATTGACAACATATGAATCAAATTATGAATGAGAAAAGATACACGAACTGTTTTGAGCTCAACGAACAAGGATTTTTTTTATTTAAAAAACAAATGCTAGAATAACAAAGAAATGGTTGAAGACAAATCGTGATCAACTTGTGATTCGCTTGTTTGAATCGATGAATATTAATCTGTATCATATACATTGTGAATGAACAAAGATGTCATAAACAAAAATTGATACAAGATATTTGATTAGATTCAAATTGATGAACAGTAAAGGACTCATGAATTGCGCTTCAAAATTAGATTTATGAACAGTAAGTGAAATACATTTTGGGCTTAAAAAAATTGATTAACATTAATCGATCGAATATTTGGACTTAAACACTTTGATTATTGAATAACAATGAATTAAATCTTTTAAATTCAGATTTGGGGTTGATCGATCTAAAAAAAATGGTTGAATCACCAATGGGGTAAAAACGGATTAGATTCAACGAAACAAATTGATCAAAATTCAAAAATGCAATGCACGAATTCAATGAAATTTAGAAAGATCATAGAGAAACTCACCAAAATTGCTCAAATTGCGACAAAAGTTGACAAATTGAGAATCGTTCTTCAAAAATCACATTGATCTTGAAGACTCGCTCTGATACCAATTGTAATGACAAAGAATATGGTTTGGCATGTGGAATTTAAGGTGGCACAATCGAACATGGTGATTTGGGTGCTAAAAGATATATTCGATTATAGTAAATGAGTACAAAAAGGGATCTAATCTAGAACTTCATAAATATCTCACTCACTAATCACTATGACTACATCTCTCAAGAACACCTCTACAAGTGGACAAACCCACCTTATATAGAGGTGTTTACATGTCTCTCTCTCTCTCTTACTCTCACTAACACATGTGTCAAAAGGCTAATACTCCACATGCAAGTGGGTTTTACAAAAGTCAAACATTTACAAAGTCAATCATAAATAACTTTTCACCCTAACAGTACGGTACCAAATTCCAATGCTCTTAGATCCATTGAGATACCAAAAATTTGCTTTACGACGAAGAGATAAGACATTTTCATATTAGCCTAGAATCTAGCACAAAGGCATGTTGAGAACATGATATCAGTGTGGCTTGCAGTGAGGTAAAGTAACGATCTGATCATTCCTCGAAACATCTTCTGATCAATGGCTTCACCAGATGTATCTGAGAAGATATTGTGTCTCAAAACTATTGGAACTTTTTCAGAGTCCTAGGATTCCATAGAATATTTCTTCAGAAGTTCATAAATATATTTTTCTTGGTGAATATAGACTCCCCGATTGGTTTGTTTGGCTTGAAGTCTGAGGAAGAAGCTCAATTCACGATTTATGCTCATTTTGAATCGACTAACCACCAGCTTGGAAAAATCAGCCACCATCGTCGGATCAGTTAACCTAATGATAATATCATCGACATATATATGTAACAACATGAGATATTTCCGATTGGCTCTTCGGAAAAGGGTAGGATCAAGAACTCCATCATCAAAACCAGAAAGCTTCAGAAAATAGGTGAGAGTTTCGTATCAGGCACCTGGAGCTTCCTTAAGGCCATGCACAACTTTCTAGAGTTTGTAGCAGTAGTTTGTATGGGCTAGATTGACAAACCCAGGAGGCTATTGGAGGTATTCTACGCTGTCGAGTTCACCGTTGGGGAAGACACTTCTGACATCTATATGGTAATCTTTGAATGCCTTGTGAGATGCATATGCGAGACAAATTTGGATGGCTTCAAGATGAGCAACGTGTGCAAAGGTCTCATCATAATCTTGACCTTCAATATGAGTGGATCCTTTGGCCACCAATCTCACTTTTTTTTTTTTTCAAATAATGACTCCTACATCATCGAGCTTGTTTTGGAAAACCCAACAAGTTCCAACAAATGGGTGATCCTAAGGAGGACAGACAAGAGTCCAAACTTGATTTCATTCAAACTCGGCTAGCCCTTCTTGCATGGTTGGAATCCAATCAGAGTGTTCTAGAGCTTCTTTGATTCATTTTGGTTCAACCATTGAAATAAAGGCAAAATAGTGAAAATCAATTTGAATGTTGATAGGAGAGTGAGTTTAAACTCTGATGTTCAAATTTCTGATTATTTGGTTAGGAGGATGATCCTTTTTCCAGACATGTAGCCTTGGTAGTGCTGGTGCCACAGAAGATACAACATCAATGATGGGGTTGTGTTGCTCCCCCCGAATAGGTTGAATTTGAGGATGATGCCCCCCCCCCCCCCTTGATCTTTTGAACCATATATGCCTTCATCGTCTTTCGGTAAGTCAAAGAAATTTTCATCATTGTTGTTGTTTGGAATTGGATCAATTTCTACAAATTGATCTACTGCATCTTGAAAAACTTTAACATTTGATTCGAGGGTTGGATTACTTCCCTTACCTTAAGGCATGGAAGTGGAGGCATTCTCCCCCTCAACCCAAAATGGGAATTCATCATAAACAAATGGAGAAAAAGTTGGAGTCGGACTAGAAATGGGTTGAGGAACAAGAGGATTTTTAATTGAAGAAGATGTTGATCGATATTCCAAGTAAAGATCTGTTTCTATTGGTTCGAATAGACTTTCAAAGTTAAATTCATAATTAATTTTAGGATTCGAAAAGCATGGAGGTGAGTTCCGAATGAAGTTGTCATCAAAAGTAATACCGAAGCTTTCTTCAATTACACGGGTATTCAGAACCCGATAAGGCTTTAGTTAGCAGAGTATCCGAAAAAGATAGCTTTTGTTACTTTTGGTTGAAATTTGGTGAGATGATCACGATTGTTCTTGATGAAACATTCACATTTGAAGATGTGTATAAATGAGATACTATTCGTACGAACATTCACGTCTTCATATTGTGTCATGTTGAGTCAGCGATTGATGATGCTTCTATTTTGATTAAAGCATGCAATTGAGACAGCTTCAACTCAAATGTAGAGAGGAAGATTGGCAAAATTCAACATCGATCGAGCGGCTTCAACTATAGTTCGGTTTCTTCTTTCAAGGCGACCATTTTGTTGAGGGTGTAGGGAGCAGAGAAGTTGTGTCTGATGCCTTTGTTAATCAGGAAGCGATTTTTGACTTCAATCTCTAAAAAAAACCCAAGTGAACCTTACGTACTCATAAACAGTCACTACAATGTACTTATAGTGTAAACTTTCAAGAGCAGACATAGCACACAAATCGATATGAAGGATTTCTACCAGTTCAGAAATGGATTTTTCAGTTGTAACTAGATGACCTTTCTTAGATTACTTCCATCACTCACATGCAACATAGATATTATCATTTTCAAACTTGAGGAGTGGAAAACCTCAAAAAATTTCCCCACAAGCTAGATAATTTACATATCATAAACTTAGATGAGTAAGTTTCCAATGACATAAGCAACTAACATCAGGAATTGCCTTTGTGAGAAAGCACATATGAGGCTTTCCAATAATCATGTTGATATCAAGAGGATACATCTTTTTGTTCTGATATGACTTGATGAGACATTCTCTCTGATCTTCTGTCATGACGTAGTTGTGCTTTTTGCAAAACTCAAGTCGCCGATTTGAATCAGTAAGTTGGGCCACACTTATTAGATTGTTCTTGAGATAAGCCACATACAAGAACGAGAAAGTTCCGTTAATCAAGATTCCATAACCACAACTCTGAGAATTTGTATTATTGTTGTATGTAACATAACCAAGTTTTGGACTTAACTTGAGATCACATAGAAATTCCTTGTAATGCCCCGTTTGTCGTAGTATTATTTTCAAAAGGGTTTAACAATAAAGAATATAATTATAAAAATTACAAAGATTCATAGATTTAATAAATAAATGAACGTTAAATGAAAGTATTTATTAGATTTTGATATCTATTAGAAAGGAAAATAAATATTTAATAAAAATTGTTATTTATTAACAATAAATATTAATAATAATAACAACAATAATAATAATTAAAATAAATCATTTTAACTTAACTTAATTAAGAATTATAAATCCAAGGTCGACCTCATTATTTTAGAAACTAAGGGTGCGTTTGTTTCACAGAATGTTTTTAATAGGAATGAAATCTGTCAAACGAATTGGAATCTGGAGGAATTTGAATCTGAATGTACTAGAAACTTAAATGTGTTTGGTTGATATGGAATGAAATCTGTTTTCTATTTGGTTTGCTGATTTCCCAACGGAATTGGAAAAAAAATTATGTATTATGACAAAAATACCCTTTAATGATTTTTTGTAGCTTATCATATTTTTTAATAAACATGAAGAATTTTTATATAATTAAAAAAAATTGAAATAAATCCATTAAATATATAAATATAAAGCAACAAATGTCATTCATTATTCTCAATCTCAAATTAAAAAAAAAGGTAACCACACACTATATAAAATACCTAGTTCATAATCATATCACTCTTCCAACATAAACTTCACAAAGTTCTCCCGATCTTCTCCTTCCAAATTCCAAAAACTTAACACGGTTTTAGAGTCACACACTATTTTCCTATTTGCTTTGAACCTATAAAAGGCACTTAATGACTGCATTTTTGAAATTTCTGGAATTACCATTGAAGCTTTTTTTGTAATCTGTTTCTCCAAGTATTACTTGGTTCATGCTATTTGCTGCCTTTTCAAGTTTTTCACCAAGGACGTTAGCTGCAATATTTATTCCCTTAATAACTACATCAACTCTTTTCCTCTTCATTGAGCCTGTGTTTGGAGATTCTTCATTTTCTGTGGTTTGTTCTTCAAAAACATCTTCTATTAGTTTTGATTGTTCTTCATTGTTTGCATCTTCTTCCATTTGGGAAAAATCCTTGGCTTTATTCCCTTGAGCTCTATCCTTTCCAAAAATGATACATAAATCCTCGTAATGAGGAAATATCTTATTTCTCCATTTTCCTTACTCTTTATGAACCTATTTTGTATCATAAGTGTTAGCACGTAAAAATATAATATAAATAGTTAAGAAGTAACAAAATATATAAAGGTTATAATATTATACCTGAATGTAAGAATCCGAAACCGTTGGTTCAGCTGTTACAGAGTGAATGGAGCTATCATAACCAAAACCACTTATGTCCGTACCATTTACCATATCATAAACAACTTGCCAATCTTTTTTCATGGTTTTGATCCTTGACTCAATGTGGGTTTTATCCAGTATGCCAGAGTTAGGAATTTTTTCTTTCAATGCATTTTCTTGATGCAGTAAATATCCAGATTTAAAACCATTATCAGCTTTAAATCCTCCCATGTTCACCATATTTACCAATGCTTCCACCAGCTTGACATCTTCAGTAATTGTCTAGTTGCGATAGTTTCTGATTTTTTCCATCACACCTACTATTTTTATAAACATAATAATTAGATGAAACAATGCATGCTATAAAAAAAATACACAACCACATATATATATATATATATATATATATATATATATATTGCTAACCTTGTCACCGCATTGAAAACTCGCGAAACAATTTTGCTAATTGTTTCTCCAGAACGCTGGAAACAACCTATCATGATCTGATTCTTTACATTATGTGCAATAATGTGAAGAAATATGGCCACTTGTTCATCAATATCCATATGTCTACTTGTTCTTAACCCACCTAATGTATGAAGCATGTCACGCAGCTTTGTGAAACATCTTCGGGTCATCCTTATATTTGATATGCATGTAGTGTCACTTTTGTAAGCGTATTTGTGCATTATTGATTGCCGATCCACATCCGATGATATTTTTTTATACGTGGTTTACCTCCTTTGTATATTTGTAGTAGCTTGCACATTGTGATAAAAAAACATGTAATACTAGTCATAACTTCATTCCAAAATGTAACGACTATTTGACTCATCTTTTTTTCTATGTTTGTTTCTAGTTAGACTAAGCCGTGCCATTTCCTGCTCATCTCCCAGAAAAGGAAAATTTTACAATTTAAAGACATAATACTTGACATTGTTGTGGATTTTAATCATCAAGAAATTTTAGTTTTAGTAGAAATTTGTAGGAATTTTGTCTCATCTTTTCCAAGAAAACAAACATAATGGCAAAAGGATTGAAAACACAAAATCATGCAGGAAAAAAAACACCACACAAGCAAAAAGACAAGCACTTGGTGTGCATACTTCTACCAACAACTAGTACATGTTACCAGTAGAAAATTTCAACCACAAAATTAAGAATTACTTTACTTGCCGGCCTAATTGCGGTTACGACACATAAAAGAACATATAGTTGTATTGTACTAGGATGTCACCAATATAGTCAAAGCATTGTTATTGATGTGGCACAACAAATATCCAAAGATTAAAAAAACGGCCCATGCGTTTACCAACTATCACAAATTGAATGAAATATATATAAAAGTTATTGTGACAAAGAGTCAAATGTAATAGAGAGTCAAAGTCACATCATAATTAATAAGCTAATTAAGAAATTAATTATTTTATATTAACCAAAGATGAAGCAAAAACATGGTGAAACACTGTTATTTGAAGAACTATAGATGATGAATTCGACATTTTTGCTTGACAATGAAAGGATGAAACAAAGAATAGGAAGAACAAATAACTAACCTCAGGCAACAAAGGTACCAGAGGCGTACAACCAAAACGATCGGCAATGGTAATGACAATCAGTTTTTTTTTTTTTTTTTTTTTTTTTTTTTTTTTTTTTCACAAGAGTATAGATAATAGGAGGATATAGAATTGAATATAGATTCTTGATATGCTGGGAAAAAATTAGAAATCAATCAACTACAAAATTAAAATATGATTATCGAAATCCGATTCAATTCAATTGGTAAGACAAACACAATGAGTATGGGATTCTTGTTTCCATTTCCTGCACTTTCCTTATGAATCCCTGATAACAAACGCGCCCTTATAGAATTATAGCTAGGGATGTCTTCTGGAAATAGACCGAACGTCAGGAACCAAGCTGTCATTATTTTAAAATTTGTATATGTTCTTCCCTGGTTCGTAACGCATTAGATGTTATTCCTTTTGCCATTTTCGGACCAACAGAGTATAGTGTGATCAAAATCCCTAAAATTTATTTCCACGGTAATTTGTATATATACTTAGTGTCAAGACTCTAGGGTTGGAGAGTGTGCTAGAGCCATAAGGGGTTGCTATGCGTGTAGGTGTGTGTATATGAACTCTAATGCTTTCTTGGATTTTCGGTGAGATGCTGTAGTTCTGGCTACTGTGGCTAGCAAACGAAGAGTAACATAATAAGTAATTGAGGTGTGTTAGGGAGGGGTTTAACCCTCTTAGTACCCATGCGAGTCTTTCATTTGGAACTCGTGATCATCTCCAGTGAGATCAAGAATTGAGTATCCTTGAATTTTCTGATGGTATCGTGATGGAGAAGGACAATAATGAGTTGTACGTTTGTGGATGAGGATTGTATGGCTGAGTGCATTCGCTTCCTTATGATGGGATCCGAAGATTTTAAAAGAAGTGAAAACCAAATTACGTTCTTATTTTGTTCCATTATTTGCGGGTGGTTTTAATGGAATTTAAGGAATTTGATGGTCTGGTTGTTTTCGGGAAGAAGATATAGTTAAGAAGTGACAATTAGGTGTGGATTTTGAATATAAATGTTTGTCCGTAGTCGCTTGGAATGGCTACAAATCGAGGTAATAAATTACCTTTTTCCTTCTTTGGCCATTCAAATGGTTTGGTGTCAAATGTACCTTAGTCAATTAAATATTTATTCTTAATCAATTAATTATTCATATAGGCATAATTTATGCACCATGCTTCTATGAATCCTAAGTATGATTTGATGTGTACTTGGAATTGCTAATGAAATAGACTTAAGGTTCCATGGTATTTACGATGTATTTTAAATAATTTGGTACAGATGAAAATAAGTCAATGGAATTAGTAATTGTTCTTGCCCTGCCGAAACATTCTATTTAAAGTCGGGTTTAGGGAGCATGTTGTGTAGTTGAGCTCGAACCTTATGATGATACCATATGTCGTCTCCTCCGTGTGTTGTGTCATCCTCTATCTCAATGAAATTGTTTGTCAGTGCGTATGACCATGCATGTCATAATAATTAAATTTCAAAAATTTGTAACTCTCGCATATGAACTCCGTTGTCGAAGACTCTTATATATTCGTGTAGATCTCTTCACTCTCAACAACTTTCCTTTTGGTCGTTTTAGCTAGTTTTGACATTAGTTTTTCAACTAGTTTTTATTATAGTTAAAAATCATATCTCCTCTATATGACCTCTGTATAAGGTGTTATTTGCTCCATAATTCCTACTTTATTTAGTACTACATTTGTCTATTTGGCAACTCTTTCCAAAAGTCGACCAATCTCTTTGTAGTTTTAGACGTTGTAACAAGTTAAGTACAACATACAATTATTTTATATAAATGTCATATCTCGCTCATACTGTGCCGGATTCTTGTGAAATTTATACTTCTAGCAATGCGACAACATGTGGAATCTAAATATGTTAACCTTCTCACAATGTGGCACAACTTTTTGCGCACTAATTTTTTTTGAGCCTATGGTTGGTTAAATTTTTTGGCATTTACAGGATTGTATTATCTCATTTTGACGTTGACTATCGATGGTGGTTAGGGGTGCATTTCCTTGATTGTCACATATCACACCCTCGACCTAGTGTTGACTTTCCATTCGCTTTTGATAGTCTCATAGTCATCTATACTCTGTGCTTAGTCTTTAACCTCTGTGGGTTGACCTAGGAATATATGTTATTTTGAGAGGGTCAACATATTTTTGGTGAGTTTACAGGTTTAGTAAGCGTGAAAAATACTTTGCTGATGTTCTTCAGTTAGCTCTCGGTGTAACCTTAACCGAGGTTAATGTGTTAGCGTAGTTTCCAGTGTTTGGGTAGTAGGATTCAGGTAGTTTAGTGACTAAATATGAATCCTGATTTAGATAGAAACTGTATATTTTACTTGATGCCTTATCTCCAGGTTAGTGTTTGAAAAATTTTTCATAATATTTATTTTTATTGTGTTGTAGGCACTACTTCCTAAGGCGTACCTCAAGAATAGTAGATGTCATTTCCGAACTCATTTCCTCGAGTTTGTGTGAAATATGACTACGTATAGTATTGGTAGTTTATGCTAGTTTAGTTTCATTTGAACCTAAACTCACATCCCAGAGTTTGTGTGTAATATCACTACTTCCATAAGTAGGTTCCTATTAGGAGTCTAAGACAGTTAGAAGTTGGTCAATCTAAACTCCTTTTACCAAGTTTGTGTGTACTAGCACAACCTACTTGATTTTTAGTAGTAGTGTATGATAGATAGTTTTAGGTTGAAAAAGTTATGATGAGTTCCTAAACCTGAGCTATGACTATTGATTCTGTAAGTACCACGACAATTCATCGGACGTCACTGTGTTTAAAAAGTTATGCATGCTTCGACTTATTGTCGGGTTTTAGCTAGGAATCAGAACTTGGTGTTTCAATACCATATAGATATATACATATCTCTCTCGCTCACTTAGGAATTAGAGATTAGGCGGGTGTTAGCCAAAATATCATCGTGTTGATGAATTGTGTCTCACCTAACTATTGTCGTGAGGATTTCCCTTGGTTGTTTGTGTTTACATTTGTGTTGTATTTATACGATATACTTATTAAATATTATTCATCTAGTATATATAGTCTGCTCAGCGTAGCCAAGAATTTGCGCAGAGTAACACTAGTTACTCAGCTTATCTAATGGTTGCTAAAATAATGAGTTTCAACGTTTCCTAGCAATTGGACAACATTGACAACTAGGTATGATCTTATTTATGATAGTCGTTTACCATAATAACTATGCATAATATTAGCTAAAGAGTTTGGGAAGAGTAACTGTTGGGCATAATATTATCCTAATTCTATCGGGATAATTATCTGACTATAATTAGTGATAACTATGTAAAGTTCTAATTTAGGCATGTATTCCCCCCCCCCCCCCCACCCCTTTTAAAAAATTGAGTTATGAAAATGGTGTCGTGAACTCACGTGAAAATTATGAAAATGTTATTGTTGATATGTTTTGAGCACTACAACATTCCTATGGTCCACATGCAACCGTAATGCTTTGGATCTAGGCTTTTCTCAAGTTATACATGCAAATTATTATCAAAAGCATAAACCCTGATCTGGCATACAATTTTCGCAATTGATAACTAAAACCTAGTTCGAAGAATACATTTTTTTGTAGCTTGTTGATCTTGACCTTCAAGAGCTTAGTGCCTCAATTTTTGCACCTCTAA